GATGATTTTCTGCGCGACGGCCGGAGGTATTCCCAAGCGATAGGTTGACGGCGACGACGACGACGACGGCGACGGCGGCAGCGGCGGCGCGACGACAATGCCCTACGCGTCTTGTCATTTGCAATGTTCTGCTGCTGGCTCGGCACGCGCGTCACGTGACCGCCCGTACTCGCTAGCCATTGGTGGCGCGGCACCCGCGGAGCGTTCGGAGCGTTGTACTACGCGAGGACGTGCGGCACACCGCGTTCCATTCACTACCACCGTAGCAGCCAGCACCGTGGCGAGTGTAGTAGCTAGCGTCCTATCGGTGTCTCGCTCCCTCTCACGCCGACGGCCCGTCTCTCTCGCGCACTCAGGGACGTGAACTCCTACGCGCTACTCGCTAGTCGGGTATACTTACTACTTTGCGACCGCGTGATAGTCGCTCGGAGCAGTCCAGAGCAGTCTGTTTAAAGATGACATAGCGTGACGGCACGACAGCTATTCGGTCAAATTCTCATTAATTTTATTTGATTTGGATTACTTGCAGTGAAATTTCTACATAATTTACCGTCTACTGATCTCTACTCTTTTTTTTTCTGTCTATCAAATAGAAAAATTAATTCTATTCATGCTAATTTAAAATATTGCAGATATTATTTGATAATCGCTGATTAAAAATTACTGATTGAAGTTATCTTTAAAAATTTGTAATTTAAAACTCTGAATAATTATTATAATTTTATATTTTGATTTAATAAATATGCAACAATTCAATTCCGATGTTAAACAAAATAACAAAATATTACAGATATTTGATAAGTTAATTGTCGATTAAATTACTGGGAATTTCATATTTTATAATTGAAAATTTGCACGAACGATTCAATATCATTGTTAAGCAAAATAAGACATCTCTTTCCTAAAATTGTATATATTATTCCAATTATAATGAATGCTTAAATAATTGTACATATAATAATCTTATACGTATCTATTGAGGCTACATTTCAAAACATGTGCTCTCCAAGAAAAATTTTCTAGAGATAAGATAAAGATATATACTATAAAATTTTCTTTCTCTTTATATATTATAGAAATATTTTCTATATACTAAAGATTCTATATACTATAGTACATGTGTGTACGTTATGTGTATTATATATTTCGAAAATTTTTCTCGGAGAGAACGTTTTGAAATGTACTCTAAGTTGAGAAATTCAAAAAACGTGACATTGAATTTTATTACCTTGACGGGAAAATAAATTTATCTTCAAGTATTCTGTGTTTAATTAAAATCACTAGGTCAATCAAGCTTACATATTTATTTACAATGTATTTTATATTACAGCATGATGGAGTCATGATATATAAGTGTTACAGTTATAGCTGACGTATGACTAGATTAAACAATATCAAAAAATACAAACAAGAAATATATATCAGTCTGAGTTTGCATGGTGTTTGCGATGGGTGGCTGAACGATTTATATATTTAAAAAAACAAGGAAAAAAGGATACTGAATCAATTAGTATGCTACTTATGATAGACACTTAGGCAACAATAGGACGTTGACATACAACATAAATCAGGCTTAGCTTTTAGGATCAGACTTTGAATAAAATGACACATCTTCACGTTACAATTCAATGCGTTACGTTCTCAATGACTCTATAGATACGTCGAATAACAAATAGGACCAGAAATTTCGGAATATAGGTCTATATATAGTTACGTAATTGATACACATCACTGCGACGAAAGTTCTGATTTGATTCTCGATCTGCAACTCCATTTCCATTTTAACACTTTGAACGTTATGTCACACATACGTAAAAATATTTCTTCTAAAGATATATCTTGCTGGAAATTATAGAACTGAATTTATATATTAGGGTATACCATGATTTTTTCATTTAATTCTCATTCATCATTTATATGATTGACCCAAATAGCAAAATGCCAGTCAATTTAATCATGTGATTTTAAAGTAGATTCTTATTCACTGTATTCTTTTTAAGTTTTGTTTCTGCCATTACGATTTGTCAACCGTAATATAACAGAAATGTAATAGAAATGGAGTATACCTTGCTATGATATCATAATGCAAGGCTTGCTTCGATTTCTGATACATTTCTATATTAGGAATAACAATAGACTGTGCTCCCTTATTGCGAAGTTTTGTTGACATAGGCTGTGTTTCAAAACTGCTAATGCCGAAAATCTGAAAATAGTGTAACTACAGATTTTCAGCATTGGCAATGAATTTTGGAACACAGCCCTTTATATACAACACACAATTTGCAATATATGCTCTTGGCAGGTTTAACCATCTGAATGAGTGAGAAGAATACGTTTGTCCAAACGTCATAATTCCTAAGAAAATGTAGATATGATTCGTAACGATCAAAGTGTTAAGTGCATACACAGATCAATTTGAACAAAAATATATATATGAATCAATCGTCGTGAGATATAAACTGTACGGTGACATCTTCTCAATAAAGGCACTGTTATGCTTTTCGCTAAGGACTAACGTGATAATGCATTTTATAGTGACTCGTCGTATTCATACATACAAACAAGCAATATGCGACGGTTTATATTAAATTTAGCCTATGATAGATCACTCTGCAAAGCAGTTCACAAGGAATGTCGTATCTCTACGAAACAATCCGAAAAATAGGAAGCTATTGAAAAACTTTGCATTCGTTGCAAAAATGCAAAACTCATCATTATCATTAAAATTTCATTTTCATTAAAATTTAAATTGCATGTCATGTAAGTTCAATATAACTTTGCATGTTCCAAGAAAAATTTTTACGATATAACAAGAATTCTCGTCGATATTAACATGGCAAACGATTCTAAAAAATGCAACTCGTATGAGTCACGTAAAATGGCATAAAAATATTAAGACTAATTCTTTTAAGAATTGATTCTATATGGATATATATATATATGTATAAGTATGTTGCGTGAAAAAATAATCAATTGATTCTATGTGGATATAAGTATGTTGCGTGAAAAAATAATTTGCTTTTTAAAGAAATAGAGATTGTAAGCCGTACGTATGTAAGTTTATCACTTTCAGTGTCAAGAAGTAAGTATCGAAGGATAAGTAGATATGCATCATAATGATATTTAGCTAATACTTCATGATTGTAATCGTAGTCTTCAGACGGGCATTAAATATTTCTGGATGTACAAAAAAGAAATTGAGCGACGCAATAAATCCCTTAAATTTTCGTGCCAGTCCCTCATAATTTATCCAGAATAACTTAAACAATATATATGTTGTTAAATATGTTTCAACAATGAAGTCATTTGCACGGTGAAATTTATAAAAATTGTCCTTTTAATAACAATTCAGTTATGATGAATGACTGTAGGCCTTCAAAAAAGTGCATCATTGTCGAAAGAATCATGTCTTTCACGAAATTTAAAAAACATCTCTAGATAAACAAACCATGTCGCCAATTCTATCAAAATGTATGATAATACTGAAAAGATATATGTACAATTTTTATCATATATTTCTAATTATTTGCGTAGCTATCTTACACTAATTATAATTTACGTTTTTCTTCTTAAAAATCACGTAGTGTTGAATTTCTTGTTTGTTAGGAACACAAGAAACTTTTGCAAATAATAAATGCTATGAAAATAAAATAGAAGAAAAAAAGAAAGAAAAAATGAAGTATAAGAAATGTAACAGATAGAAAGACTAAAAGTGAAATAATTTAAAAATATTAATAGTTTCATAAATTTAAGAAAAATGTTTTCATGACTTTAATTAAAGAAGATGCTCATAGTTTACTGAAACATTTTTATCTCAATATATGATATCCAAGTAATCATATGATGAAGCTTTTCATATGATTGATTTTATGTAATACAAAGCTCTGCATTCTATCATAAAAAGGATGTATTTTAAAATAATATAGAACGGCAGTGTATATTAGATAAAGAAAAAATTAATACTGTTATGAAAATAATATTTTGAAAATAATATTTATGAATATAATATTTTCAATTGAAAAATCTCTTTAAGCGTTAAATCGATCAATTGCAAATATTAATTAAAATATTTAACAAAAAGAAGTTAAAGACAAGTTTTATCTAAAGTAATATAAATTTATTTAATTTTAGATTTATTATTTATGGTTTTGTTTTATAGGATAAATATTCATATAACTGGATTTGAATTCAATTTTATCTTATTATAGATAAACTTATGCTTGTATAATCTGTCTAAGAAAAGCGCGACAAATCATCAACGATATTTATTGTTTCGTATCATTTTACCGCTTCATACTTCATATCATTTTATCCGCTTGCTTATAAATGCCTTGGATTTTTTGCAGCCGTTTCCTGCGACATTTTCGATCCTTTCGGGTGCATGAAAAGAAAAATAGCTCAAATTTTTTTAGAGCGTATGCAGCACTCATCATTAAATATGTCGTTTTCTAGCAAAAATCAGACAATAATTAAAGACTTCGTATAATGCGTCATAGGAGAAAAAATTCTATCTACTCGTTAAAAAGTTTTTGATATAACAATTCTTAAATAAAAGTTTGTCACGCTCTTATTAAACACACTATGTGAAATTTGTAGAAAGTATGTCAAACAATAATTGACAATGACGATAATTAGACAACTTATTAATACAAAAGCGTTCTACTAATATTTTAAAAAATTTGTTAATGAAACAAATATAGTATCTTTTCATTGTTAAATTGCTAGTCAATTTAACTTGTGGCATTGTGCTGCGGTAGTTCAGTGAAGTTTGCGTTTCAAGACTGAAAAATCATTTTGACGCGCAGTTTAAAGAACTACATATGTAGTATATAAATTCACATAGAATTATACAAGCACTTAAAACCCAGTTAGACCGTTAAAAGTATTGATTCTTCTATTGATTCTTCTATTGTGTACAGTATCTTTTCAGATTCACTAATAATGAAAAGAAAAAGATTATTTTTCGATTGAAGATTCTGTGGCATCTAGATTACAATTTTAGAATAATTAAATTAATTATTTGTATATATTTTTTATGTTTTACAACATTCAATATGATAAATTATAATTGCAATTATCATATATGAATCTGTGACGTGCAAAGAAGACAAACTTTTAAACTTAATTTTAAAATCAGGAAAGAATTATCATCCACTGATGTATCTAGATTAATCATCAACAACGAAGTTGTTTTATGCATTCAAACGATTAAATATTAATCGCAATGACTTAAAAAATTATCAAATATAAAAAATTGTCACATACATACAATAAGTACTGAGCATTTCGAATGACTTTGTTTTACAAATGGTAAGAACTTTGTATTCCCACAGATATGCAGAAAACAAGAGAAAGCAACACTGAACATAAAAGAAATTAAATAAATTTAGATGAAAAGGCAAACTATAAACGGTAATATATATGGTACTACATATAGCAAATCGAAGTTAAAATAGTAATGTCAAGTTTATTTTGACAATCCTTATATGCTCAATTCGGTGCTGTATCCTTATTATCATAGGATATCTCAAATTCATTCATTTTTTTCACCTATTTAAAATAGTTTAAAAAATTTATAAAAATTTATAAATATACTTTTAATTTTGTAGAATAAATATTCAAACTTTATTTTGGAAAATAATAAAATGTAGTATAATATAATTATCGAAGAAGTCATAAAAGTCGGACAAAAATGAAATATATGAAATTTTGAAACAAAATACAAGAACTCCAAGTTCTTAAAAAAAAAATAAATAAATAAATATAATTTTCAAAGTACACAAAAATAAGTGATGAAGAATAAAAAAAAGGGAAATTGATAGCTGCGTCATATCTCGATGTCTCCCTTCACAAACTTTTTTAAGACAGAATAAGAAACGCCAGATCCGTTTTGAACAGAAATCGATCGAACATGAAATACCCAGGATAATAGAGAAAGAGTTTATGTCAAGTTTGACATTACTATTTTTTATCTCACATCTTATACTAATTTATAAATTATATATAAAAATTTATAAAAACATAGGCATTATACATTCATAATATGTGATGTTACAAGTTCCACAAAAAAAAACCTGAATAAATAATTCTAAATTAGACTGACTTTTGGTACTTTCGCAATGAGTTTTCTTCCCCTTTGCGATTTGAATTTTGATGATTAAATAAATGACTTTACCAGTATCTATATTTTTTTATACAATCATTGCCCAAGTCCACCACCACTAGGTGATTATCTGGCAGCACAGCTATGCCTGAGGGACGTCGCAATTTCGAACTGTGTGAATCGATTTCGGTTAAGACATTACCTCCCCCTAACTTTAGAACTTGTATTATGCTACGACCCTTATCTGTACGAGTACCGATAATTTTGCCATCTGCGTCTACAGCTATTCCTCCGTAGATACCTTTTCCTATCACATATAAATTAGATATGCTAAAATTATCTTCGTTACACGATAAAATGTTTCCTATTTTGTATAATATGTCGCAGCAATATGTATATCTCGATTCATTTACAATATTAATATTTCAAACAAATATATAGTTATATATAAAACTTACCTTTGCCCTCAGAATATATTTCTTCGGAGAAATCTCCCTTCGCGGAAAACACTTGAATTCTGCTATCGGCAACTAAAATCTCACCGGCCGGACCAACAGTTACAGAACTGATTAGCTTGAACGTGCTTCTCTTACCAACCTGTTAATGTTTCATGATGACTATACGAAACAACTTGCAATGAAAATTTATATATGTATTTATGTAAATAAAAATTAACCTGGAATAGTATCTTGCCGTCTGAATCAAATACGAATACACAGCTTTGACCATTGTCAGCGACAAGTATGTGCCCATAACTGTTGTCCACTGCAATGTCTATGGGTTCCTAGAACATAAAAAACAACGTCACAATTAAGAAATATTTAAGTGTATTGTGCGTGTTTGCAATAAAAATTACTAACTTGAAATGCATTATGCGTGAAAGATCGGATTGTATCACCTAATGAAGTCATTTCCGTAATCTTTCGCGTTCGCCAATTCACGACTACGAGACCTTGTTGAGATATACCTATTCCCGTACAACTGCGACCCTCTAAGCCTTCATTATTTATGTGCCTTTGAAACTCCAAATCACAATTGAGTACCTGAAACAATATGAAAAGAATTAAATACTTTCTAAAATATCATGTATTCTCTATATTGTTCTAAACAAACCTTAATACGAGAATTTCCAGTATCTAAAATATAGATCATTCCCTCATCGTCCACTGTGACTGAAACAGGCTGATGAAACTCATCTTTTCCGTTACCACGTCTTCCATATGTTTTAATAGGTTCATTGTGCTCAGTCGTATCGAAAAATAGCGGATAATCTTTAATAGGTCGTTCGAACACCGACACTTTCAAAACATATCGACTTGCAGTTGGTGGCCGGAAGTAAATTTCGTAAGTTCCATTCTCCAGATCTTTCACTTCTGTCTCAATAGGAACATTCTGATTTTCTGCATGCATATTATCAGCAAGCGTCAATTCGGCGCTAATAAGATCACCACCGACATTTCGAGGATGACCATGATAATCTACCGTTTCGACTACGACGATTGTTTGTAGCTTTACTATTGCTAGATCCTTCAATCTGGCTCGGCATAAACCTGATGCAAAAGGCATATATATATATATATAAAATATGTCGTATTATAAGTATTTTTAAAGCATCTGATTCATATTACATCTTGATGTTAAATTATGTAGTTATGTTATGTATATCGGAAGAAACACACGACGCATTATAATAAATGAATAACTCTTTTTAAAGCAAGAGAACTTTACTACATTATTAATCTTTAAGATACCTGGTAATGTTGTACTAGAACGTACTCGTCCCACGTTATTCAGTGCTTGCTCTAATTGAAAGAGAGCATCGTTATGATTAAACTCAAATGTAATAAAGGCATTCTCCTTAGGTTCGCTGAGAGCGGTTGCTGCATCAAGCTGATCCGACAAGCTATTAATACGTTGAGTAATATTTCGGACCTCGACCTACAAGATTAAATCTCACTTGTAAAATGATACGCGCGAGAAGTAATGTTATATCAATATATTCTTATTACCCTGTACCTGATATTGCAATCCTTCACATTCTCTCTCCACTTTGGTTTTCTCTGCCTCAATAAGAGAATGTTGTTCTTCAAGTACGTGTTTCTTATCACGAGCAGCAGCGGTTACGGCAGCTTGCAATTCCGTGCGACGTTTCTCTATCTTTGCGATAATCTCAGCGAATTCCGTATCTACTGCGCTCAAACACTTTTCCGTAGAGGCTTCCAAACGTTGCAATTCCGTGCTCACAGAATCTTGTGCCTGTGTTAACTAAAAACGTAACTCTTAATTCAGTAAGGATCGAGCTATACATATCTCATTATGTGTATGTGTGTGTGTGTGTGTGTGTGTGTGTGTGTGTGTGTGTGTGTGTGTGTGTGTGTGTGCGTGTGTAAATTTATATGCGTTATTTGATTACTATGCAAGTATAGTAAAACATAAAAATTAAGGAACACTATTACAAAAAATTTTATAAGATATTTTTGCAAAAAAATTTTAAAATATAAATAATATACTTATATTTCAAATGGATAAAAATATTATATATATATTTACATCAACAGACGTATAAAGCATATAAAAATAAGTATATAATATTTAAAAAATAAGAATAAAGCACATTAAACAATATATTGACTTATTAATATAAAACATAGTTAAAGACTAAAAAAGAAAAATTAGTTTTCACCTTGGATATACACTCATTAGCTTTATACAACAATATTTCGGACATTCTTTTTATCGCAATACTAAAAGGGATAATTGTATGTTCTGTGCATCCAGGTGACGTTCCTGCATGTGTCCCACTAGTACACACTGTACAGAATACTGTATCACATGTTTCACAAAATAATAATTCCTGATTTATATGAACTGAACACTTTGGGATGACCTGCAAGTAAATAGATATAATGATATTGAGACTATTTAAGAAAAAAATTTATCTGTATAACAAATTGACAATATTCTGCTCAAATATACCTCTCGTCTTTGTCGAGACATAAGGTCCAGCAATTGGTTTACGAGAAAACTTGGGGGCAGTGCAGGTACTCCTCCACGAGGAATAGTTATTAATTCTCTACAAATGGGACATCTAAATGCTCCTGTCTCTCGTGTTTGAGACGCAGCAATTCTTGTTAAACAATGTAAACATACCTATAAACAGAGATTATCAAGATATATAAGATCGAGATATATATTACATACAATATATATATATATATATATAAATAATTATATTTAAAAAATTACATCACTCTTCATATTGTCTCTGTCTATTGAATGACAAATAAACATATATATATATATATATATATATATATACACAATGTGCAACAAGTATAATTTAAATAAAAATAAATTAAAAATATATATATGATTCATACATCATCATCATTATATAATCAATAATTTGTTTAAAAATAACTTCTTGTTTCAAGACTTGAAAAAGTTTTTGCACATGAAGATAAAAGTTTCTATAAAACATTTTACGTCAACTTATAATTATTAAGATAAACAATACATTTAAAAATTATATACATTCTGTTATTCTGTTATAATTTTAAAATATTGTTGGAAATAAACTAAAACAAAATACGTTTTTGATAACTGTACAGATCGTTCTCTCAGTGACAGTCGATCAATTGCTTTTTGCATAAGCGTGACCAAAACAATACATCACGAGGTACATCTGCCGAAAAAGGAGCACTCACTGTATAGCTAAACGCAACGCTTCCATAATGGATATATTCTAGTCGCCGCTCTAAAGTCTGCGCTCCACCATCCGCTCCACCGTCAACACGCACGTAGCCCTGTTACTCGAGTTTTCTCGGAAATCCTGAAGAATCCAACGATCACGATACATGTCGCGCTAATACATCAATTCACCCTCACTGTCTCCGGAGACAAAAGAGAAACAGATGATCCACGAAGAAACCACAACCGCGTCGTCGACGAATAACCCCGAGCGTGTTTGGCTGGATCAATTCCGAAAATCCAAATTCCTCGCAAACGAAGAGCCCTCGGAAACGCGAATCGTTTCCGAGCGAGCGACCGACGTGTTTTCTACGTTAGCGACCGCATGTCTCGTGGATATATAAATAAATCGCCGAGACGCTCGGCGACCACCGTCCACGGCGATGACGAGAGACGTGCAGAGACGTGCGCGGCTGTCTCGGGATCTCCCGATCTCGGCCCTTTGTCTACCTCCGCTTCTCGCGCTCCATTACCCGTATGAGCGGAGGGAGCGAATTCACGGACGCCACATCAAATTCCGCGCGCCGCATCACGTATCGACGGTTTTGGCGACTGATTGTTTTCGCGACAAAGAGAGGGATCCTTTGGCTGAACACTTTTTTTTTTTTTTTTTTTTGGAAGCCTCGATCGTGGTCGAGGTTTTATCGCCGCGCGTTTCGCACACACGCGGGCGCTGATCACGCGAAATCAACGGGGACGACGTCGAATCTCGGCGCGGAGCATTTTTCTCAAACAAAACACACAGACGGACGCGCAGGACAACGACAATCAGGCCAACGACAGTGGCAGCGGAGCCGCATCAGCTGCAGAGCGCTCAGCGCAGCGAGCGGCGACTCACGTTCGTGTCACAGCTGCGCGCGTTCATCGTCGGCACTCCGCCGATTCCGCGGCTCACGGCTGCAGGTCTCACTGGCTCGTGCCCTGTGGCTGCCAGCATCACCGTGGTATGTGCTGGCGTGTGCGGGCATCACGAGCACTTTCGATGTCCAGTAAACGAGAATTTTGAAAGGATTTTGAAATGGATTGAAATTGATTCAGATTTTCAGAGGTACGCATCTGTGAACGTTGAAATGAATTCTTTTTATTCCTCCTCCTCCCTCGGGGGCGAAAATTTTTCTCATTTTTATACGAATTGGAACGTTTTCCAGAAATACTCAGAAATATTCGGAAAGTTTGCACTTTCTTTCAGAATTTTTTACACAAATGAATTCTGAAATATATTCTGAAATTTCTCATCTCATAATTTAAAAAACAATTTTTTTTGATTTTTTAGATTTTATGTAACATTTTCATCAGAAATTATACTTACGAAAAAATCTTAGAAATTTTATAATTAACACGTATGAAAAATTCTGAGAAAAGATGTAGATTTTCTGAGAAATGTTCCAATTCGTATAAAAAATGTGAGAAAGTTATAAAATTATGTAGAAATTCTGAAAAATTATAGGACAAATTTTTTCACCAAAGCAACACATTTTTATTTATTTACAGAAATTACATGGAGCACATTCCTATGCCTTTGAATATAAAAAAATTTCAGTTCTTTAAGTGCAAATACTGTCCAATTCAAAATTCTGAATAGGAAATGCGATTTTTCAATCCAACTGAATCCAAAAAAAATTTTTCCATCCAATTGAATATATATATAAAAAAAGTAAAACTAGAATACTATGAAGGCTACAAAAGTATGCACTCAGATGGATTCAAATGGATTAAAATTTCAATCCATTTTAATCTATTCTCATTTATTGGTGGTTCTCATAACACAATTTGATGATTCTTACCCAGTAAACACAAACTAATAGCAATATAACATTAATATCGTATAACTTTTTACTCACAATATAATATCTCTAATGTACTCTCTAATTTTTTTTGGAGTGGAATCTCAAAGATTGAAGCCTGAGCCATTCCTGAAAAAGACTCGATTTTCAATCTATAAGAGTAAATTTATTCTAAACATTTTAGAGAATACAACGTGTATTGTATTACATTTATATTATTGAATGGGATTATATAATAATATAATTATAATATTAATGTAATATTACCGTTAATCAGTGTTTACTGATCGAGTAGCGGAGTAGCTTTGTTTCCGAAGCAACTCGAATTGTCTCAAATCATGATGACTTTTAATTTTAACGAATTATATATCGTTATGTTACAATTTAAAATAAGTGGAAGCTTCAAAGTTAAAAAAAAATAAACTAAAATTAATGTAATGCCTAACTAATTGAAACTATGTTAAGACAAACAGACTTTTACTTTAATTGGGAAGTGCGTATTCTGACAGAATACGAATTACGAGAAAATCTTACAAATGTACATTAATTTTAATCTTTTGATTTATTTTTATTCTTACTTTAGACTGCACTAGAACTTTCCTTCCTTTCGCCAAATATCAATATATCTATTTTACTTTAAATTCCTAAAAATGTACACTATAGTTCAGCTATAGAAAATTAATCTTAATTGGTTTAACTTATTCTTTATCCTTTTTTTAATTCTCTAATTAAAAAAAAAAGTGAAAATTAAGTTAAGTTAAAATTAATCTTGAGAGATTCAAATTAATTTACATTGGTAAAAATGGATATAATTTTATTCTGTGTAAAAGTATGGATGTTTGAAAACAAGTTTTTCGACGGTAATGTATATACGGTCCTGGAGATCGGTCGTAAGAGTGGGAGAGACAGCAAGCACGAGGCTGAATCACGGAGGAGAGCGTGGGAGAAATAAGCAATGTATCGCACGACGGCATAAAGAAACACGCGTACACGGCCGTGTATACCCGTGAACTCTCCACTGCGCAGCCTGAAAGGTGCAGCGACCGGTATGTTGCGCTCGTACTTGTGGATGCACGTGCGTGTGTGCGTACTGCGTGGAGTCGCATACAAATGATCTCTCGAATTCGACATTAGAGTATTAATCGTGAAGCTTCAAAATGTACTCAGACAACACAAACATTACAAAGTAAAATCAGGACGTTTGTCTGATAAGACATCTTAAAACATTTTTGCAGAACCGTTTAAGAAATGGTTAAAGATATCTTGAAGATGTCTTATGTTCTGATTTTAGACTTTGTGTTGTTGAGTAATAGTGAATTCTCTCAATTAGATGCATTTAGTGCACACTGCTATACGTTAAAGCTGTCGTACATAAAATGACGTAAAATTGTGCGTTTAATGTAAATATAAAAATGAATTGAACTATGAAATCCCCAATATATTTTATTACTGTTAAGTAAAATCTGTATTTTATAATTCGAAATATTTGCATTTTATTTGTATATAAATTTAATATGCACTTTTTAATATGCACTAATTATGCGTTCAATTGGTTCAACACTTTCTGATCTTACAAAAGAATGAATATACAATAAACAAATAAATGAATGAATAGATAAATAAATAAATGTATAAAAAGAATATAAATATATGTATATATAAAATTTTTTTAATAATAAAAAATAATATTTTTGATGTAATAAGATATCATAGACAAAGATATTATATACATATACAGAATGCTTATATAATTTAAATATGAAAGGAATATGTAATTATATTACAAATATTATAGATGCCTGTAAGAGTTCCAAAAGAGAATAAGAAAGTCGAAATAATGTTAATTTGATGCCATACCAGAATTGTTGATCGAATTTATGTCATTTTTTTATCATGATTCGATCAATATGATATTGAGTCTGTTTTTTATAGCTAAACTAGTGTGGAACTAGTTTGGAACTTAAAATGAGATAAATATATGTTTAATATTTGGCGAAAGCGAGAAAGAGAATTCTAATGTAGTTTAGTGCAGGAATAAAAAAATTAATCTATTTTATTTTGACTTTCTTATGTTCTCTCTGAGTTTTTATTATCTGAGTTTTTTTCTCTCGCGCATTACCTTGGATACGTTTCATTTGGCGCTCACAACGCTCGCGGGTACTATTTGTCTTTGTTAACATTTAAATAACAAGAATGAAATGATTCCATGAGCGTTGCGAGCGTCGATAATGTCTTCTATCTATTTATTTAATTTTAATGAATTTTAACTCGTGTAAGGGATTTTCCTTTTGAGCATCCGTAAAGAGTACTTGAGTGCGAATTTTTGCGCCAGGCGTTTTTAATATTTTATATCTTCTGAAAGTTAAACACGAAATTAAAATAAAATCTAGGTTTTTCAATGTAAAATTTTCTAATCAATCGATTGATAATATTGAATTTTCAAAAAACAAAACATTATTCATTCAAAACTGCGTGTTAAGCAAAACTAATTTCCTTAAATACCTATAAGTTGGAAATTTTGCTAGTGCGAATTTACGCTCAGATGTTATTTAAGGGTTAATAGTATATTTGATACGTGATGATTTCACTTTTTAACAATTTACGATGACGACTTCAAATATTTTAATTATTCAATTCTTATTCGATTACGATAGATGAAAGATTTGATCTGAACTTTACAATTATTTCATTTTTTAATATACGCACTGAAGATACAAGTCAAAATGCAATTCAATTTGTTCCTAGATATTAATATTGTTAAATATATACACAATAATAATTTCCACACCAAAGACTGCATTGATTCTTACAGGCTTTTCTATAATATTTGTTTTATGATTCTCAGAGCCTTATTTATATTAAATTTAATTATATTACGTTTGTACAAATATATATCGTAAAAAATATATAATAGAGATATATTTATAATAGATATATTTTATAATAGATAAAAGATATAAGATATACGTGATACTCACATGAAAGGACAGCAGCTCATGAAGCTTTCTTTGATAATAACAAATCTCTCTAATTACTTCCGCAGGTAAGAACTGAATTGTTGTCAGCCAAGAATGACACTTTACGCGGTCATAACACTTTCTTTCATTTCCCTTTTATGAATAAAGCTCACACCATATTGATCCCTCGATGTTTAAAAATATCCGTAGCAGCCACCTGTCTGATGCACAAGATAAAATTTATGTCGCACTTGTCAAAACGATATTGCTGCGTCAATTAGTTACGTGACATTTTTTTATATCCGTCGCGAAGGGATCTTGATAAGTGTCGTAAAAATAACTTGAAGTATTTTTAACGCGCTTTTATCATTTTATTAACGAGTCATGGCTGTTAAGCGCTTAATAAAACAACGCACATACGGAATTTCACTAGATACAATCTTTCTTCCTTGCAGACGTGCACATCCGTTGATTCATTAAAGGAATCTCTTCAATGTCCCATTCGAGATCGATACCTGCTCTCACGTGCGCAGAAGAAACGTAAACAGTGTCGCGAGCGCGTATAAACACAGCGAGCAGAAAGCGCCGTCGTGTCGCGTACTGAGAAACCATATCAACGTGATATCAAAGTACAAGAGATATTACAAGAGACAGCTATCTCGCTGGCGATGCGTTCGTCGCGGTGCATTAACCCCTCGCCCAGAATCAATGATCGGCGGAAATCTGCGAGTATTTGGACAAACGTCACGTTTTGACGCCTCTTCGAATTTCACCTATTCGAACGAGGATCTCGAATGTACACCTTTTATCTTTCACTTTAATTGTTTCACAATTTTCAAATCTACGAAACGGAGAAAAATTGCCAAAAGTATATAAAGTAAATGTCCCAGACTGTATCTGTGTCGCGGACACTTAAATAAAATTTATTATTAATCTCAAATGCTACTTTTGTTACGATATATTATACAAAGATTACAATTGTAAATTATAATATTATATTTAAAAAAGTATTTGAGATTAATAATGATATAAATGAAGTTTAATGTAAATGTCCGGACATACATATGTACATGTTCGGTCACAGGGATGTTTACCTTACTTGCAATAAGACTTTTGCAAGAGGAAGGAAATGAATGTGAAAGTAAACACACACGAGTGAAAAATATTCGATCAAGGCGATACTTCGCGCCTAATAA